CATCGGACGTATTAGATTGAAGAATTGTTAACTCTTTACATCATTATGTAATATAATAATATAATATCATAATATTAATATAATTAACTACGTAACTAGTTGACGTTTATTAAATTTCGTATCATTTAGTAATGCTTTCTTATAATGAAAAAAAATTTCTGTTGCATTAACCTTCTTCCTTGAGTTGGTTTTTTCTTAAAATAAGCTACAAAAAGGATTGTAGCATTTGTATACTGTCATACTTCAAGTATTTTAGTACTGTTATATGATTACGAAAGTGTAACATTATGAAGCAAGGTTTTCAGACTTTAAACTGAAGTTAAATAGAGATAATCAATAATTTTTTGTAATGTATAATTTATAGATACTATTATATTTTATATTGAAAGGTACGTATAATGTAAGAACTCGGACGACTGAATAATTAGAGAACGTGATACACATCTAGAGTTAATATTCAGAAATACTCACCTTTGTAAAGGGATCTTCGTTCACTTCCGGAAACATTTTGAACACGTTTCTATTTTGATCAGAGGAAACGATATCCGTCACGTTTTTATGTGAGACGAGTCGATTACTTATAGTCTGACGTGCAAATGCAGAACAAAACAACGACGATATTAGCAAACTTCGTTACATTTCCATCCATTTTTCTTGAAATGAAGTAAGTCTACCGCATTTAAAATTAATGCGATTTCAAACAACATTTTTTTCAAAAAGATTTTTTTTTTAAATATTATTTGAATGTATTCCAACAGAATCGTATTGTTTTCTTGACTCGAAAATCGGAAAATGAAATGCAGAGAGAGAGAGAGAGAGAGAGAAAGGAAGTTTTAAATAATTACACGAAACGATAAAATAAAATGTTTCCTGAACTATCAGTTTTTTTTTATTGTTATATTGTTTATAAGTTTATATTAAATAATATAAATATATAATGTACGTGATGTTTCAAATCAAAATTAATTTCAAATAGTAAAATTGTATTTCAACGACGTGTAAGGAGATATAAAATTATAGTTTACAATTTTTTAACTTTCTACGTTTATATAAAAATTTCTTGTAAACGGTCAGCAATATAAATAAAAAAAAAAAAAATGATATTTCTTCATTGCTCACCAACCCTGTAGAGTTTATTTCGATGTTATTTAATTTTATCTTCAATTTAAATCCTACATAAAATTCTTATATGACGTAATTAATTATAAATGATTATATAAATACTCTTATATGAAAGAAAGAAAAAATGCATATACTTAATGGAAAAGTATTTGATCGAAAACTGATAGTCTTTAACTGTTCAACCATCTTCTACAAATTAATTCAGTGAACATTGCATTATTTTAATTACTTCTTAAGAAAAGAGAAAGAGGAAACAACGAAAAGGCACCGGTGTCTGCTCTGTTTAATGATTTAATTCAATCTATCGATGCTGTATATACATAATTTATAATTTGTTCTTCCGCTACGTACAAATAATAATAATAATAATAATAATAATAATAATAATAATAATATAAAATATAATAATATTAATATAATAATATTAATAATTACTCTAATAAAATAATATATAATATATAAATTTTTAAGGACAACTTAGGCGTTAACCTCTCTAGCGTACAAATAAGTATTAATCATCTTTAACCGGCCGCTGATAAATCGACGATCCCTCAAAAATAAAAGAAGGAAAGGAAAATCGAATGTCCGACGTACATCTCACGCTGTGAATGAATTATTATACATTGAGAGAAAAAACATGTTCGGTGTGTCTCGTTTATGAACGGCGTTAAAATGCAGCAATTCTATACGGTGATACGATTAGGAAAAAAGAAAAAAAAAAAAAAAAA